ATTTCTCTAGGCGGAAGTACGCCTACGTAGTCCTCAACTCACATCGTGCGGTTGTCTGCGAGGACACTGACTATGGGGTCTGCCAACTTTTGGACTTTTAATCCTAGCCTCAGCTTCTTCAGCGCCCTACGGCTAATGTAACTGCGGGTGGCCCCTTAGTCTATAAGGGCCCCTACTCTGCTTCTAAATACTTCTACATCTACCAAGATCAGTTGTCCCTTACTCTCCTTCTTCATTTTGGCCCAGGTTGGCATCCTCTCCTTCAACTCTTCTGCCACACTTGTGAGGGACGTGCCTAGAGAGACGCTAACACAAGTGGTCTCTGGACAGCTAGCTAGGCACGGGCCTGCAACGTCTGCCATAGGCTCATGTGGTTTGGGAGTTTCTTGTGTGCGCGCGCTCGCTTCCCCACATGGCCTTAAAGTAGGGGCAGTTGCGACCCCTACTGGCGGCTGCCTTTCGACTGCTGAGCAGCCCAACGGGCCTGTCTATACTTAGGACAAAATTTGATTACGTGGGCTGGGTCACCACAAAACACGCACTGACCCAAGTTCACGCGTTCTTGCCATACGCGCTGGTCCAAACCCAAGTCTTCCCAGGGCCTGCCCTGTGGCAAGCCTGGGTGCCATCCTCCTTGAGGTGACCTTCCACCTCGTCGCTGTGGGGACCGACAAGAACCTTGACGATTTGGCAGGGGACCTTGACCCCTACCTCCCACTTGGCGGTTCCCTTGTCCGCCAACCCCCTGTGCGCCCGGTCCTCGGCCTCCCATGGCCTGGCCCCTTTGGCCCTGGCCTCCTCCTCTACTTTGCGGCCTCCCTCCAGCCGCGACAGCAGCATAGGACCTCCCTCGCCCCACGCTACTGTCCTCCTCCTCAAGGCCCCACTGGATCTGACTGTATGGGACCTAATCTGTACCACCTTCCTCGAGGTAAGGATCATATGATCCTTGGCCCTCACTTGGCCTGAGATGGTACGACCTTTCCACTTCTTCCCTTTGTCCAAGTCCTTATGCCAGAAAGTGGAAACTGACATGGACTTTGACTCATACAAGACCACCTCTCTACTCAGCACGTCATAGGTCATATTGGCTTGTTGAGACTTCTCAAAGAAATGCCCACGCAGGGGCTTTGGCATGGCACGGTAAAATAACTGGACCAACTGGGGCTCAGTGACCCCGTGGTCTGGGACCGGTACCAAGTCGTCCATAACGCCCTTGAGTGCTCTTGCACTCCTCCACTGTCGCGAGTGGATCGTCTGTAACTTGTCAGAGGCCCTGACGCCTCTCGTTGGATCAGCAAATCGCTCCCTCAGGAGCTTGAAGAATTGAGGAAGGGGGGTGACTTTAGAGTATGCAATCAGGTTGTTTTCACAACCTGCTGCGCGCGCAAGAGATCTGGCAAAACTGGCCGCTTCATCCTTAAGGGCCTGGAAGGCCACGAGGACTTGTTCCTCAGTCAGGATGTGCTGTAGGTATACGTAGCTATGCACACTAGCCTTCAAAATTATCCTCCTTCTTTCCCCCGTATGCATCTGGGAATTTAAGCTTGACAGGCTCCTTACGGGGCCTGGCTTCACCCTCCACAACGGCTATTGCTTTGGCGCCCTCGATGGCGCCCTTGCAGAACTTCCCCTCGTTGTCCCTCAATCGCCTAACTTCGCCTCCAACGTGGGTAACCATATCGCGCGCAAAATCTCTAAACCCTGACCGCATGGCTCTCAATGCTACCTCTTGGCTCCTGTTGGCCTGGCGCTCCTCCATCCAGGCTGCACTCAACAACTCTACATATCCCAACACCTTATCCATCTTGGCAGACATGTCCGTCTGCGCCTCCATTTCTTGTCTGCAGTCCCTCAATTTTGCCACTTCTGCGGTCAATCTATTAACTTCATCCCTCCTTCTCTTCTTCTCCCTCTTCATCCTCAGCTTCATAACTTTTTCTCTTCTTCTCTTTCCCTCCGTTCCAGGGGGTCGTCCATTGCTGCTAGCTCCTGGGCTAACGCATCCCTCTCGTCCAGGGGCACATAGAACTCTGACTCCTTATCCTCCCCCAACGATAAATTAGCGATCCACTCACTTATCTTCTTCTCCATTGCGGCATCCTAATTTGCCATGCCACTGCTTTCTCCTCTCTCTTCTATACATTTTCTCTCGTTTTCTTCTTCTGCTGCTGCTTCCTCTTCGGCAGCCTTTCTTGCGATAGTCTTTAACTTCGCCTGTTTCTGGAGCTCCTTCCTCTTTGTTCTCTCTCACTAAGGCGGCCATCTTCTCTTGCTGTTCCTGGGTATGGGGGCAGTGCTCTTCCCACTCCGGGTGTCAAGCATGGTGATCAGTGTACAACCGGATTGACGGTTCCAAACCTCACCACGTAGACTCTAACCCCTGACTGACAAACCTACTGACTCAATCTAAGGACTCACAGAATCCTGACAGGGATCCTGCCAACTAGGGTCTCTAGCCTAGACCTACACTATGGCTGTCACTACGAGACCTGTTGCTGATCAGGAGGCATTTAAGGAGATCCCCCGTAACTCCTCAGGAATTATTTAACGTCGCAGACAGGACGACGTGATCAGCAGGTCTCTCAACACTTAGACCTCCTGTTGTGCAGCCCACAGCTCGGATTTTGGGCCTACCGTCCCACACCGAGCAGCCCGCCGGTCAGTACCGGTCCTTGGGAGGGTTCGTGTCCTCCGGGACAGTCGAGTCGTCAGACACAGTCTTTAGCCCTACTCAGCTCGTGTGGGTTTGGTCAACAAGGCCCTATCCTTCATCCACAGAGTACTATCACCTAGACAGAAGAGACTCAATGCAGAAAGAAGAGACAGGCTGACTGGACTTCAGCAAGTACCACAGGGTGTGTGCACATCCATAGGGCGAGGGGTAGGCTGAAGGCTTGGCGAGATTTTACCGGCTCCAGCTTGGTCAAAGTCTTGGTCAACGCCTTGGTCAACGCCGGTCAACGCTGCGGTCAACCCCTGGTCAACCCCCGGTCAACTCCGGTCAACTCTTCCGGTCAACCCTTCGGTCAGCTATGGCTGCCGGCTTCTCTTTCCCTCACCAACCTTCTTCTTCCCTTCACCTTCCTCGCCTCCTTTCACCCTGCT